TGATTATAAAACAATTTTTATAACTATAATAATAAAAATAGAAAGTAATCTTGTGATCATGATAGAATTTTCAGCGTAGAAAACATATTTGCAGTAAATCAAGAACCCAAAAAGATAGTAACTCCTCTACATATTTTCTTAAAGCAATCAAACCACTAGCGGATCCAGGATTTAATTTTGGGGGGGGGGCTTCAGCCCGAAAGATTTTTTTTTTCATATACACATAACGATAATTAATTTGAAAAAAATAAAGAAATTAATTACCTATATGAAATGGTTTAAGTGGTTCTTGAAGTCCTATTAATTATAAATACACAAATAAGAATACTTTAAGAGATAGTTTTTAATATTTTTTTTCTGTAAAACATGGTTACATTTTACCATTTTGGGGGGGCTTCAGCCCGAAAGCCCCCCCCCCCGTAGATCCGCCTGTGAATCAAACACTTCAAAGTTTGATATAGGGATTAGTGGAGGTAAAATAAATTATAAAGGACAACTTCCAACATATATTTCTGAATCGGATGAGTGGAACATAGCCTTAGATAAAAACCAGATCAAACTATACTCGTACTATACCAAACGGAGGTGGCAAACCTCTGTGCAATAAGTTTCGAATACTTCACTCATTAAAAGCATGGTAGTGTTCGTCGAAGTCTAGTGAAGAGAAAACTGGATGAAAGGATATTAAAAAAACTAAGATGGAATGAGTCAGTCAAAGCTGAAACCGGTCTGCATTCACTTTCGCTGCCTCCTCGAGTCCACGTTTGAGCACTTTCTGTTTCCTTCCGCAAGGACCGGTCGGTGGCGACATTACTGGATACCGGGTCTGTGGAGTCACCTTCATTGAGACCTGTACAGATCCCGTTAAGGGAAGGAGGCTTGGGAAGTATATTTCGTTATTGGGTTCCTTCCCCTCTCCCCTCCCCCCAACTTATTATTAAAATAGAAATGCTATTACGATTCGTAGGTTACAAGCTCTGCGAATATAATTATCTCATTAAGATTAACGCTTTATTTTTCATTAAAACATTAAATAGAACACGCTGAGTACAGCTAGGGACTACAGATAGGTTGAAGATATACTCGTAAACATATATAGATTATAACATTTAAAGATTTAAAGTATATATTTTAATGTAACACATTCACTTATATAATCAGATGTAGTGAGTAAGAAAAAATAATCATCATAATATAACGTAAAACTATTAAAGATAACTTGACGTACAGTATTGAGACAACAAAAGTAGTCTGAAATGGCGAATGCAATATTTGGCATTATAATATAAAACGCCATAAATATCAAGTTATAAAGTTGAATGAATCATGTATACAAATATATTATTCAGATGGAATAACGGCAGAATAAAAAAAGAATAGTACGAGAAAAAAACTGCTTGTAGTGCATTACTATAGTATCGACTTTCAGGGTTTAAACAACGACATTCTTTTTGAAGCAGCAGGAGTGTCCAAAAGAGGATTTTGGCGCAATTTCGAGGGTTTGTGCCATCAAAATTTTTGAGGGGCCACATTTTGATAGGGTTTTGAATTTTTGAGAGAATGAAAAGTTTTAAACAGGGGGGCAAGAGGAAAAAGGGAAACAGACCGCAGCAAGAGTAGATATATATGATATAGATTATTTTTTTATTTTACTTTCGCTTGCACTATTTTTAAGAAGAGCAGTGCAATAAGATATCTCGGGAGGAGGATAAGGTTCATACGTCGTTGACTTTGGGGAGGGGGGTGGGTACCCCTGTGAAGCAGGAGGATCAATCTTGGTCCTCCGAAGGGTTTAGATATGGAGTGGGGTCTGCTAAGGCTTGAGGATAATTTTCTTTTTTACTTATTGATTAAAAAAACAGACAACATTTAAAAAAGGCCATCCAAAATAACAAAAATATACCTCTGTACTTTTTGGTTTCTGAATCACCTTCCTTATTTTATTATTTAAAATAAAACTAGATTGAAGATATATCTTCTAATTGCAAACTCCTAGTAAAACCAAATCCACTACATTGCAAACATTCAATTCAAGCAATTCCCGATAATCCTGCAAGATATCTGAAAAGAAGATGCCCACGGGACCTCATAAAATAAAGTGATCGTTAAGGTGCTATGGGTAATCACAAGCTACTATCATGTTATATATTCTATTTCAGATTTATTTATTGCGTTATTTTGTATAGTTATTAATTTCAATAAAATAAACAAAAAAATGTGAAAGACCACAGATTCAGATATAATTATAAATATCAAACATTGTTTCCTTCACAACCGTCACGTGGGACTTACAAGAAATGAAACATACAATTGTTAAAAAAAAAAAAAAAAAAAAAAAAATTGTAAATGGCGCTGGTTGAGGTGAAAGGCGAGGTGGTACCGTTAACCAGATCTACTGCTCTGCCATTATGATAAGAGAATGCAAAGCGATTCCAGTTATATAACCGGCAGCGGTTCAAAATTCGATAGCAGGCATCGGCACTAAAATCGATCCTCTGTGTGATCAAGGTAATGGATCGAGGCACCACTTCCTTATTTACCCGAACCTTCTTCCTCTTTCTTATGGGCCTCTGATGGATGGCTCTCGGTCACGCGGTCGTTCAAATAACAAGCTCTTCTTCAAGATTCCAGCTACTGATTTTTCTATATTTTTTTTCTATCAAGTTATGTTACATCGCCAGTTAATAAATATTTCATAAACGGCAATAACTATTAAAAGTCTCAAGGCGTGGAAACAGTACAACTTACAACTCTTTAAGTATCTGGAAACTGGTCGCTTACGGGAGTATCATATCATTTGATTTGTTATATGTTGGAGAAAAAAAAATCGTTCAAAATCATCTTTTGCAGACACTGTAGCAATATCATGAAATTTTTTGTAATTGTTCCAACGCGGTGTGTCGTGACTTGCCTCAGGACTGAACGAATGCGATTAAAGGCTATCTGGATACGCACGCCTGAATGTAGGGCCGGACCTGAAGTAGGATTTCTTTCCGGAGGGTCAAGCCTAATTTTGCCTTTCCACCTCCCCTCCTCCCCCTCATCTGTCCCCAATAAAATTAAACAGTTTGATAATAGTATTTTAGATACAATATTTCAAAATATATCATAAACCATAGTTCCATAAGATCAACTCATTTTATCTACTACATTAAGACAAAAAAAATAAAACAAATATTGTTTATTTAACAGTGAAAAGTAACACCTTTGCCCCCTCACCCCCAATGACGAACCTGATGTAAGGTTTCATTTGATCAGGATCGAAGCCAGGATTTTAATTTGGAGAGGGCTGATGATTTCACAATTCTAATTTATTATTCTCCTGTTTTTTATTTCACTTTGTTGATTGACCCTTCCCCCCAATAAAAATAGAGAAGGCAAGAATATCGTTTCGTTCCCTCCTCCCAATATTTCGATGAACAAAAATCAAATCAAAATAAAAAACAATTAATTTAAACGAATGAATCTCACAACCTCAAACCTTTAAATAAAAATAAAAATTTAGAATATAAACATATATATGTATAAATTTATTTTTGTTTCTAGATTATATCATTCGTTTTACAATAATTATCATTCATAATTTTTATATAAAATATAATAAACTGAGACTTTTTTTTTTTGGACTGTCCATCGCCCTCCCCTCTCCAAAATGGAAAGCCAACGCCTATGACAAAGGGATAGACAGCGTCGGATAGACATCAGCGGCCTATATTACACGCTTGTTAGAGTAATCTAATTAGTAAGATTACTATATAGCAAGCCTTACTCTACTCCTACCGTTAGCATTAATAGCACACTTAACAACCGTGACAGTCTCCGTTATTGCTTGCCATGCGCTCGTTTAAGACCAAGAGATTATTTAATTTCATTCTTTTAAAGTGTATATAATAATCTACTAGGTAGATTATGAAATTAACAGATATTATCCACAAATAGCATGTTACTATGTAATTTTATGAGTATTTAAACCTTATCATTTACTTGTTATTTAGTTTCATTTTTTAAAACTGTACAATTCTAGCCACTTAAATCCGACAAATGTTGATGACACTTTACCTGGACAATTAAATTAACTAAATAATTACAAATAAATAATATTAATTATATAGCACTGTTAGATCCTCAGAGGAGGGGGAAGGGAGAGGGAGAAGGATCCGGGCTGAAAATGGATTTTTTAAAATAATTCATGTACTAAATGTTACCACTGAGTCAAGAATAAATATTTTTACAATATCCATAGAAGCATTTTTGTTGACAGGGCTTCAAGAGTCACTTAAATGTTTATATAGTTTCTTCCATTTTCTTCCAGAAAAATAATTACGGTTCTTAGAAAAAATCAAGCCTCTCAAATTAAATCATGGACCCGCTACTGTTTTACGGAGATTTAATACAAAAATGAAATGACTCAAAATAATGCTGCGCGGATACCTGCTTTGCAGTCCAACAACTACTTACCGTTCTGATAATAATTAAGGGAGAAATGGAATTTCTGAATAATTCATAAAGGATCGTTCCATTATTCTACCTGGACATCTTTTCTCTTCCACTTGAAGTTGATCACGGAAAGTAATCACTGAGATGGAGCAAGAAGAGTGGATACCTCGACCTTTGGTCGATGACGTGACAAGAGAGACGTCAATAGCGGTCAATCTCTATGCGACCTCGCTGCACGCAACCTCTCAGCTTTGACCGAACCTTACCGAACGATACCTCTCCTCTTTATTTTCCTTATCTTCATGTCGACGTATTTATTTTGCAATTTATTGCCATTCCATTAGTTGATTAGACTGTTCTTAATGATATTTCGCATATATTTAGCTTTATGTTTTAAAATTAAAATGTAACGGCCAAGACTTTAAAATATTAATGCATTTTGTTTAACATGTATGATATTTTGTTTTTTAAAGGGTTAAACAAACAGTAATTGATTCGTCACCTCTACCGTCTGCTTCATCAAGTCAGTTGCTCGAGTAGTTCACATGCGGGCAGAAGAAGAGTTAGCGGATAAAGAGGATAAGAAAGATGGAGGACTTTGAACCCCGGTAGCCAGAATGGCAAGTTAGTTCCGCGTGTTTGTCCGCTTTGTCAGCCTCCCGCAAAGTCGCAAAACTGTCGTCTGGGAGTTCTTTCTGAAAGTGGTAGAGCTCAAGATCTAATTCGACCCAGAGGTGTACCGCAGTAGTTGAGGAAAGTACCTCTTCAAATATTCTTATAGAGTGCTACCAATGGGTAATTTCTTCAAAAAGCGTGTTTCATGTTATTTTATTCCTCTGTACAGATTTACTTGATGTATTCATACTAATACAGTTGTAAATATCATAATAAAAGGTAAAAAAAAAAAAAAAAATATTCTTATAGGTTGAGTTTATATCTCAAACACTTAAAGGTAGTTATGGTATAAGTAATTAAGTCGAAATTAACTAATATTATAAATATTTCAAAATTCTGTAAACGCTAATCACGCAATTTTTAATCTGCTGATAAGACTCCATTCAATTAATAACGAATACTAGTTGACCCATGCGAATAATTGTTCTAGTGAATTTGTCAGTGAAGAAATGGCTATATAAAAATGCAATACTAATTCTAAGTAATATAGAAATAAATACTAAGTAAATGCAATATATGATGAGAGGGAGGAATTAATGTTCATTCCTAATAACAGACCAAAATATGTGTACAAATTGGGTATATATTTGCCAAAGAAGGTCTAATATTGTTCATTTTATTCCGATTTTGTAGAGAATTTAGAAGCCATTGAAACTTAATACCAGCGTCGAAACCTTTGAAACGTATTTTGTTCCATTTTGATCTGCTGATCTATCAACGTCGGAGATTTGAAATATACTTTTTTCAATTTTATTAAAGTTTTAATTGGAGTTTAAGGGTCAGAATTTTAGATCAGAACCATAAGCGTTAGGAATGCCTTATCAACACCTGACACATCAAAAATAATAACCGTTCATTCTCAAGGATGAACGTATTCGTTAAAGCCGATTTGGAATACTGCCTCACCTCTACATATACATATCCGATTTGGATGATTATTTATTAACGTTTTAAAGAGAATTTGGAGATCTTTTTAATTATCGTTGCGGTAACCAACCATAACTTTTGTACTTTTTCCATAACGTTTCTGGAGAATGTGCGTATTTCTGAAAGAGGAGATAAACCTTCAAAATGACCTTCACCAGATCATTAGTTTTGATGAAGAATTAACGAATATACGGTCTATTAACAAAAAATCACCTATGAAAAATAATATATACAGAGATAAAAATATTATCTTTAATACAATAAGGCAGTTTTAACAATGTTATATGTAGTGTCCTTGTATATCACTTAATTTATTTTATAATTTATCTAATGTATTATAAAAGTGTTTAATATAGTATTATCGATATACATTAATATTATATCTTAACCAAAATTTAGGCTACCCACTTCCCAAAAACAAAAATCATGCTCTATTCCTTCACACGATGATGCTACTTGCAACGGGGTTTGAAGTTTCGAAAAATAATTCGTTCAGAAGAACGGTTATTAGATGTTGTTTAAGATGTAAGGTCACTAACATCGGCGTCATTTCAGCTTGGATCTTTACCAAGATGTCATCGGGGATATTATTACCATTAGTAAGGCCAACGAGAGCAATGCCAAGGCATCTTCGTCTGTTGTATTTTCACGTGTATCATTTGCTAAGTATTGGAGAATGAGCAACATATGGGATGATCTGTTAATTATGTAGTATATGGACATAATTTTCAATACTCGGTTTCTTTCGGCAGACCTCAGCATTCAATTTACAGTATACTCGAAGTGATAATGAAACCAGAAGCCATCTTGGAATAGAGATCCGAAACGGACAAATTTTTTTTTCATCTTCGATACTTCATAAAACGTTGATGAATCGATACGTTCATGAAACAGGATAGATGGAAAGAGATACCTAGATACCCCACGGCCTCCTGTATCTAGACCTGAGTTTCCTGTTGAGAGAGGAAGCACAGGTTAGCCGATCCGATACACTGTACCCACTTCCACAAAAACTGCGGAAGGTGTTCTTCGGTCCAGTAGCTCCCAGTCCTTTGTCTACATCCAAATCTGGAAGGAGAGGGGAGGGGGGAGATCTTTGGTAATGATTTGTAGAACATACATTAAGGAGGGATTCAACCTTATCTATCCTAAGAAAAAACGAATCGATTTCTGAAGGAAGACGAAATCAGAAAAAACTAATAACTTAATTATAGGACTGAGAGTAGAAATTAGAATTCTGATTCATTGAATGTCGTGGATAAATCTAACTAATTTGCTTCGTTTTTTCTTGTCTGCGTGATCAAGGATTTTGCAGATAAGCTTTCTTTGATGTGCATTCTCATTTTTACCTATTTTTCTTTTGTACTCATTATTATTTCTTCTCAGTTTTTGTATTTTTGTGATATATTAATGTACTTTAGTTGATGATTACATGGTATTTTATCTGTTTCAATTTTTGCTGATCAGCTGTTCCATTATAACAAAAGTCTGTGTGGTTGGAATTTTTACAATTATAACATATAATATTCACTTAAAATAATAATAATCCATTTAAAAAGTATCTCGTTCATTTTAATTAGGTTAGTCGTGAGATAAATTACAAAATCCGGAAAATCCGTTGAGTTATTTCACCATGTTTATTCCTATGTTTTAATAATAAAAAAAACCTAATGCAATTTTATAATTTTAATAGGTTGAAATCAAAATATATACATTTTGACACTGATTTATTTAATTAGATACATAGCAATTAAATTTCTGATTTATAAATTTATTAATAATAGAATTTACTTTTAATGTTATTATATATTAAATATATATATATATATATATAGAAGTTTTCACGACTAGAGAAAATTAAGACAAAGAACAACGCTCCAGCCTTATACTTGCATATGATAGAATAGAACTGTAATATGTAAAAAGATATAGAGCATAACAATGAGCCCACTACAACCGTTTGGTAACGGTTTTTCTACAGGTAACAGCTAGTCAACTGCTATAAGTGTAATGAATTAACTGTTTATTAATACACTAATATTTTTTTTTGTTTTGTTGTTTATTGTTAAATCAAAAACTATCAAAGTACACTGGAAACCAAGAAACGAGAATATTGTAATATTTTAGTGAAGTTTTTGGACCTAGTAATTAGGCTAAACGACCCAATATATTTGTAGGCCACCTTTGTTATCGATTTCGTGATAAAATTATTTAACGATTCAAATGGGAATTAATGAGTTTTTAGTACTTCATTGACAGGTTGGACTTAAAATGTACAATAAATAATAAGCTTCCTTGTTGATTTGAAGGTTCCATTTTTTTCTAGATTGAAGAACAGTGCTCTCTATTGAGAACTGTATGAACAATGTTAAGAAAAGAAAATATTAAAATGCCAGTCATTGTTGTTTTTATAGTGCTCCTAAGATCTGTGTGTTTCATACCTTCCTACTAAAAGTTTTGTTAAGAGTATGTTGAACATTTATGTTATGTTCTCCTTATCGTTATCTTTACAGTTAAAGATTTTAGAATTTTTTTGAGAAATGTCCATTACTGGTATCGACCCCCTGTCCATTTCTTTCGGGGTGTCATAACTAGTGCAAAAAGGTGTTGTTTTTTTTAAATGGAGATCATACCTGTATAACTGAATATTTTTTCAATTTTAAAGAATTAAATATAAAAAGGAGACCCGATAGATTCTAAATGTCCAACGGAGAAGTTTATTACTATAATAATTACGGCGGCATGAGCCAAAAAAGGCAAAAAAAAATCTTAGCTATGTCAATAAAAACCTTACCATCACTGGTGCGATAACCCTACTTTATTTCAAGACAGTAAAATATGTAAATAGTTAGTTTTCTTTTTGTTTTATAATACATTGATAATACTTTTAGCTTAAACTGATATAAAGTTTATTGATTAAAATTAAGTATTGTTCTATATATTTTTTTCTTCACAAAAGTAATAATATTTTCTTTTTTATTTCTGTTAGTCATAGTCCAGTTATACTGAAAAGAAAATAGAGAAAACCTTCAGATCCATTTTCTCTTCCTTTTTTTTCGTTAGCAAAAAATATGATGTAGTTGACAACCGTCTTGCAGTTGACGAGCCTCGCCCGGACTGAAGTAGGATAGTTAACAAGAACATCCATCCAGTGACTGCGGACAATCTGGAGCGGGACTGCGGAGGTATCCACTTCTCCAGCTCCAGGGACATCAATAATCTTGAGCCGTTCTCGAAAAGGATCATTATCTCTATCTTCCTCATCCCGGAGAAGGGGAGGGAGTAATTACCTCTTTGGCAGGATCACCATCTCTTTGAAGCTTATCGTGAAGGCTTAAAAGATTTAAATAAATATCTTCCAACGATACCTAATTTATTATCTTTAGTAGTGATAATGGAGATGAAGCTATCTTGTAAATGCAAATATAAAGATATAGGCCAATAAATTTTAAACCCTTTTATTGATTGTATATAATGAAAAATCTCTATTAGATAAAACCCAAATTTGTAGGTGATAAAACAAAATAACTGTTTTTAAAAGGTTTAAACCCGACTTAGCAAACTTGTTAGTTTTAATTCGGATGTTGTTAGGGGGTTCAATGCTACAAGCCGTTCACCCGAAATGAATTTAAAAAAAAAAATTAAGAAGAAGAAAGTAATTTTATTCTGGAACTTATAGTACCCTAAGAATGAGAAACATGTATCATGATAATTACATTATGATATGGATTTGTCTGGCACGTAATAGATGACAAAATAATAATTAGGTTACAGAGTTGTGTAACATTAAAATAAAAATAAAGAGATATTCTAAATATTTGCACGGTAAGCAATATTAATATTATTTTCTAATTAACATTAGAATCATATTGATAACATATTTAATTCTTATAAATATTCGAAAGACTGATGGCTGAAGAGATGGAGAAACAGTTGGTTTTTAAATGAAGTCAATGATGATGTTTTGCGTATGGTGGTGAGTAAGGAATTCCAAAACAAGATATCACGCATTATAAAGATTTTTTTCAAAATAAGCTGGCTTATGAGAATGAATATACAGGTTTGTGGGCTGCAATCTCGTGTTGATAGAATGGACAGAGGAACAAGGAATGAACAAGTCGAGAAGATATGAAGATTTTCTGGTTGCAAAGATTCGGGAAAGGAATACATCTAGGAAAGATTGCCGTCGAGAAACTGGATAAAGCCACTTCATCTCGGGATACCGACTGGAGACGTGGGAGCGCCTAGGGACTCCGCAGATGAAGGAAACAATTCATGTGTTTTTTCAGTCTAACCTCAAGTCCACTAGACAGTCCACCGTATACAAGCCAACCATAATAGATGTTGGGAAATATAAAATAATAAACTAGAAGCTGACGGGTTTTAGAAAAACAATATAAATATAAACGAATTGCTCATTTCGAATAATTATTGAATCGACTTCTTCTCAAAATCAAACCGAGTGGAAAAATTATTACTATTTTCTGAAGCAAAATCGTTTGACCTTTCATGTTAGCATAGTACGCCCCCTGTCGAAGTGGTTCTGGAACGTAGGTCATATTCAGCATTATCTCTGCAACTGTTCTGATTATGTGTGACATATTAAATTACTTTATTGTGCTGATCGGAATTTCATCAAGTGTACCAGCGATGTGTCCAGTAACGTAGATTTAATAATTTTCTTGACAGCTTCTAGCTCGATGGGAACGAAATTTGGCATCTGTGCACACTTTTTATGATCTGCACGCCTTCAGTATCGTATAATCTCGTAAGGGTATTGCTCTCGTCGATGACTCCTGTCTACTTTGTTTTGTTTTGGTGTACTCTCTGCAGTTTTGAAACTTTTCTAGCACCCTTCTTTGCCATTTTGTTTCATACAAAAAAGAGTTAATCAACCGTGAAGCCGAACTTATTAAAGTTTTATAGGTAAGTGCCTGAGGCCAACAGGAAACATTTAAGATAGATGTCCGACGTTGATAAGTTAGTTATTTTTCAATACTAAAAAAAAGAGGTCCTTCAAGATTTCAATTCATGGCTACGAAACAGAGGTCCTTTCATGAGGTAATGACTTGTGCATATTTAAAGGCGACCTCAGGTCTTCTGTCAACGGGCTTTCTTCATCTCAATATACCTTAGGTCAACTTAACACAACTTACATTGCCCTATCCTGAGGGAAGAACAACGAGTGATTAAAACTAAGTTTACAAAATTAGGATAAACGTGATACTACCAGCATCTATGTTTTAGTAGTAGACGACTGGATAGCGGAAGCAAGTGATCTAGTTAAGCGCTATAGATGCCCATTCAATAGTCTTTAACAGTAGCGGATCCAGAATTTAATTTTGGAGGGGCTTCACCCCGAAAGCCCCCTCCTTCCCACGTCGCTCCGCCTATACTTTGTATGATAATACTACTGTAATATTTATATGATACAGTTCTCGAAGAAAGTATATTGTATGCCGGCCTAAATATTTTTAGTTCCATAGTTATTAGTCGGAATAAATCTACACTAATTTATAAAGAGAGTTTGTTTGTTTGTTTCAACTGGATAATTTTAGGAATTACTTAAAACTGAAAAATTCTAGTTGGATGAGATAAACTTACTGTTTACGAAGGTTTTATAACATCACGCTGCAAACCATAGGAACAGTACAATCATCATAAACATTAATCGGTCTGGAAAACTACAGGTAATTATTGTAATTAAAAATTAAGTACAAGTTTTCTTTAAATAATTTCTAACTGTTGGGAAAACAAATTTCAGAGTGAAGTCGTCTAACTAATTTTTTTTTCTTTTTAGTGTTTGTCAATTGTTTTCCACATTTCAGAACTGACACAGTTAATCATTCATCACCGCGAGGGACAGGCACTTTAAAAATTATTAATTAATATAATTAAAAAAATAAATTATTTTTTTACTAACGATATTTTACAACTTAATAGTTTATTGTTCCTAAAAGTTCTTGCCACTTCTTTCGATCTAGAATCTTCTTCTTTAGATCTTGCCACCCTCTCGAAGACCTCTGGCAGCCAAGCCTTCCTCCACATGATGTAAACATCTTTTCGTGGTCGTTCTCATTTTCGCCTTTCTATCGATTGATAGAGAAAAGTCAATGTCGGCCATCGGTTTTCTGTAATTCTTCGTAAGTGGCCATATTATGGAATTACCATAATTTTAGTTTAGGCATTCTGTTATATATAAGTTTCTAAGTATTTTTTTTAGAAATGGAAATATAGTTAACTGTTGAAATTGTAAGGATATAAAATATTCAGGATATGCAGTGAATAATTATTTTAATTAAGTTTGCAGACGTTTCGGTCCAAGCCTGTGGGTCATCTTCAGAGCAACGGTGCGAAACCAAGACAAGAACTCTTACTTTCATTTTTCATCGTTAAGTACATTTTTTTATGGAACTATCATTTTAATAACGTTTTGATGAATTTCGGTCTTGTTAGTCGATACATTAAGTTCATCAAAATGACACAAACCCTTCTATTCATCAAATTTAGTTGGTCACTGTTAGAGCACAATGTTCTGATTTCGCAGAGGGAAAATTCGTCAAATTTTTAATGATTTTATTTTTATAAAATGTTACTTGATGAGATTTAGCAATAAATCGACCAAATCTATTTTGATGGTAAACGGTTTCATTTACATACCATATCTGTATTTTAAAATATTATTCAATGAAATTTTCAATAAATACAAAAATAAATTCATTGAAAACTAAAAGAGGAAAGGAATGCTATTTGACACATCCTTTCCACTCCACATGAAATAAATCACGTTTTAATTAAAAATTAATTGAATCGATAGCAGGAATGACGAATCGATTTGTGTCGCAATAAATATTCAATTAATAAACCGATGTATGTAATCTGTCTTGCGAAGCAGAAGATGCACGGCTTTCTAATATGCGACTGATTGCTTTCACGATAATAAATTTATAGTAGTAATTAATTAATCAAGAGATAAATGTCTAAGTGTAAAAAAAATCCCATTAGAAGCAACTGTGACAGGCTATAACTGCTAAGTAATAGGTTCCATATACTGGTAATTTATCGAAGATTTGATTAGAGTTATTGAATACAGGACAGGAGTAAAATATAAATTAATGTCTTACAGTAATACACTCAAAGAAATTTGAAGCCTTTAGTATCCTAATTTAGTATCAAATAAACATTTGATTCCTACTCCCCTTCCTCCTTACAAGATATTTTATTACTAACCTTTTCTTAACAAACAGAACAAATTAAGATAAAATTATAAAAATAGTAGGTCACATACAATTACACTTGCTGCAATCTGTTCCATGTATTTTCCTTGTCCTTCAGTCAGAAAATTCATAACCCCATATAAATTCGCCCCCCTCAAAAATTCAAAAACGCGTCAAAATACCGGCCTATAATAGCGCCTTTTTGTACAGCTGAACGGCACATCGGAAGTTAGAAGCGAGTACTAGTAGACATAGGGTCTGTGCTGGAGATAAAGATTAACCCCATCCGTACAATTGCTCCGGACTCAACTCACCTTGCGCCATTTTTACACCACAGCTGGATAGATCGGCAGTTATCGATCGAGATCGATATGCATATCGCTTCCCCCAACCATCGATTGCTTTTGACATCAGCTGATACCTCAAAGGTGACCTCGTTGTGAGTACTTCTCATTTGGATCGTTTGTTTATTCTCCACCGTCTCCAAAAGACATTTGAATTTTTTTTTCCTTCTAAATCAATTTTTTATTGTTTTGGACCTTTAATTGAACTCTTAAGTTAATTTTTTTCTTGTTATTAATCTTTATTCCAGGAGTTTATTTTTTATTTTTGATGGACAATATTTATTTTTTCATTGGATATTATACTTATGTTTTATTTTTATTTCTATGAACTTTAGACCATTGTTTATTTTGCTTTGTTTTCAACTATTGCATATACATCTTTTTTATTTCAATATAATAAATATTGTAAACATTCGAAAGGGGGATTATTTATTTTCCATCTTTAATCGATTGAATATGTTTTAATTAATATTTTGTTGTGCATGCATTTTTCATGTTTTACAGGTCTCATTTCTTCCCCTTCTTTCCCATGGCTTGATTTTACTCGTATTTTCCCACCTTTGAAGAAAGTCACCGGGGAAAGAATTGTATTTTTATTTTGAAATATCTCTGTCAGAAACATAAGGAGACACGCAATTTTTTTTTAATGATTTCTCATTCCCCTTAAGGTCGAGAGCTCATGATCCTCCCCCCTCCCAAAAAA